TTCTCACTTTCTTGACTCAAAGTGAGCTTTGTGCCCTTTCTCTTTCCATGTCCTCTGTCGGTCGGTCTTCGATAATAATTAGTCAGTGCACTTGTTGTCATTCAGCAGCAGCATGTGATGATTAAAGTCCAGTACAGCTGCAGCTGCTGCAGCGCACCTCCTTTCCATTCTCTTGTTTTCCCTCCATTTGCTACGCAACGAAACGAACAGATTTTTGCTGTTCAAACACACTGTGTGTGTGTGTTTGGCTGATTACATTGTGCTCTACTGTCTGTACTTGGACTTGGCGAGTTAGTCAGGCAGTTAGTTAATCTCAGTGTTAGTCTGCTGCTGCTGGCGCTGCATTTGAAGTTACATTTCGGCTTTTGACGTTTAGTTGTACTGTCTCTGCTTCGACCATACCATAACATCCTAACCGATGGAATGCGTGAGTTTTTTGTCTGGCACTGTCTGTTTGCCCAGTCTAGAAGTATATGTGTGTGATATGATCTGGCGCCTTGACTACTTCAATAGGGGAGAGCTGCTCGTCCTTGTTCCATCATTTGATGTGCTGACAACTCTTCTCTGGTGCTGTGCAGTTGAAGTGATCAGCCGTCATCCGGTGTCCACACCACTGCAGCAGCAGCAACGGCGCTGTTGCCCAGCAACTCTACTATTATTTACTGATCACAAGCACACACTCTTGATCTCCTAAATTTCAAATTGGAAGCAGCAGCAAAAAATCCTAATCACGCCGACAGAGACGCTTCTCTTGCACTTACAGGAAAAAAGACAGCAATTTCTTCATTGAGTTTATAGCAAATTTTTATCTGAGTGTGTGTAAATTGTTACTTTACTATTTCAGCCACTGCCACCTCCGCCTCCACCTCCTTCCTCCTCATCTCTTCTGATCTGTGTGACTTTAGTTTAGATCAGTTTGTGTTTGACAGTTCTGTTTGTTGTTGTTTGTTGCCAAGTCAAAAAATAGCAGTCACAAACGTGCTCTTGAGAGTGCTTTGTACGATAAGCTGTAGCCGTAGCTGCTGCTGCAAATGGCCTTTCATTCAGGTGCAGTGGTGTGATCGCCGCTTGAATGATTACCTTCTCGCTTTCTCTCCTCTTTTGCTTACTCCATGATTGTGTTTGTCTGTTCTTGCTACTGCTGTTGTTGTTGTTGTTGACACTGCTTCTGCTCTTGTTGTTTGTTTTTTTGTTGACCACCACTACTGCCAAACACACACCAAACACTGACTGACTGAAATGACCACTGAAACTGACGCTAACAATAACCAATTGCCCTCCACAGATGAGTACCACTCGAAGAAGGTAAGCCCTCCACCGACACGGTCCGGCGTCAACTACATCAACGTTGAAGATGAAGACCAGATGGTAGGCTACCATTTTATAATTCTTTAGCTAATCTTCCTTTTCCATCCCACAGGAAATCTATGGCTACACGCCGAACTTCGCCAAAACGCTGCTCACCTGGACGCTCATTCTTCTGACCGGCGGCCTGCTGCGACTGCTCTTTCACTGGAAACCCCACTGGATGCTCCTCTGTACACACAACCTCTGCTCACTTGAATACGCCAAGAAGGTTCTGCTCATTGTGAGTTGTCTTATTTTGATATCTGTTGATTTCTTATTTTTTACCATTTTTCGGCAGGACCACTTTCACCAAAAGTTCACCGAGACGGTGGTCTGCCTTTCCAATGACCGCCTTTCCTATCACAATGCCCACGGAGCCGCTGCGGCCGCTGCAGACCAGCAGAACACCTCCACCACCAGCGCCACAGCCGTCGGCGACGACCCCGAGGACCAGCACTGGATCACCGTACCGCGCCCGTACGGCGTCTTTGAGCACGTCAGCTCGATTACCTACTTTGAGAATAAGAAGGTCCGCTACATCTGGGACCGCAATGCGAAGGAGTTCCTCAAGCTGGGCGGCCTCGACCGGGAGATCAAGTGCACCTACTTCTACCAGCAGAAGGGCCTGTCGGCGGAGCACCAGCGCCGCCGCCAGGTCGTCTACGGCCTCAATCAGATTGTCGTCACCGTCCAATCGGTCTACGGCATTCTCATCTCCGAGGTCCTGGAACCGTTCTACATCTTTCAGATCTTCAGCCTGGTCATCTGGTCCTTTGACGCGTACTACTACTACGCCAGCTGCATCGTCATCATGTCGGCGCTTAGTCTCACCTCCAGCGTCATTCAGACGCGACGAAATCAGAAGCAGCTGCGGGACACCGTCCAGGGCACTGACTCGGTGATGGTGTACCGAGGGGGAGAAGGCGGTGGAGGTACTGGGGCGGACAACTACGAGAAGGTGGAGTCCTCGCAGCTGGTCCCCGGCGACATCATCGAGGTGCCCTCCTTTGGCTGCATTATGCAGTGCGACGCAGTATTAATCTCCGGCAATGTGATCATCAACGAGGCGATGCTCACTGGTAGGTTTTGTCTGTGTATTTTATAAAACTCTAACCAGTACTTTCTTCTCCTTCACTTTTCCTTCAACAGGGGAAAGTGTCCCAGTGACCAAAACGCCGCTGCCCAGCACCACCCTGCACATGCTCTACGACTCGAAGGAGCACGCGAAGCACACGCTCTTCTGCGGCACAAAGGTCANTATAAAACTCTAACCAGTACTTTCTTTTCCTTCACTTTTTTTCTAATTCAGGGGAAAGTGTCCCAGTGACCAAAACGCCGCTGCCCAGCACCACCCTGCACATGCTCTACGACTCGAAGGAGCACGCGAAGCACACGCTCTTCTGCGGCACAAAGGTCATCCAGACGCGGTACTACAACAATGTGAAGGTGCGCGCCGTCATCATTCGCACCGGCTACCAGACGGCCAAGGGCGAGCTGGTGCGCTCCATCATGTTCCCCAAGCCGGTGGACTTTAAGTTCAACCGCCACATTCACCAGTTTATCGGATTTCTCTCCTTTCTGGCACTGATTGGCTTCGTCTACACCATCATCCTCAAGGCCTATCGGGGCGTGTATTTGTAAGTTGTTGTTGCGCTTTTTGATGCTCTAAATAATTTTGGTAATAACCTTTTCTTCTCCTTTCCCTTTCCCTTCAGAACTCAAATCATGCTGAAGGCGCTGGACCTGATCACGATCATCATTCCGCCGGCGCTGCCCGCCGCCATGACCATCGGCGTGGTCTTTGCGCAGTCTCGCCTCCGCAAGGCGGAGATCTTCTGCATCTCGCCGCGCTCCATCAACATCAGCGGCTGCATCAACTGCGTCTGCTTCGACAAGACGGGCACGCTGACGGAGGACGACCTGAACTTCAGCGAGGTGGTGCCGGTGGCGGAGACGGCCGCCGGCCTCCGCCTCTCCGCCGCCGTCCACCACCCGGTCACCGGGCTGGAGTACGGCCCGCTGATGATCAGCCTCGCCGTCTGCCACTCGCTGACGCTGATTGAGGGGAAGATCATCGGCGACCCGCTCGACCAGAAGATGTTCGCCGCCACGGAGTGGATTCTCGAGGAGCCGGACGTCAACGACACCACCAAGTACGACCTGCTGGCGCCGACGGTGGTCAAGCCGCCGACCGATTCTGCCGACAAGGAGGTGGGCATCCTCCGGCAGTTTCCCTTCAGCAGCAGCCTCCAGCGGATGAGCGTCATTGCGCGCCAGGTGCGGGGCACGCAGTTTGAGCTGTACGCGAAGGGCGCCCCCGAGATGATCCAGTCGCTCTGTGATCCGAGGTCGCTTCCGGCGGACTTTTCCGCCCGCCTGCAGGAGTACACGGAGAAGGGCTACCGCGTGCTGGGCCTCGCCTACCGGCCGCTCGCCTCGATGAACTACAGCAAGGTGCAGCGGGCCGCCCGCGAGGACCTGGAGAAGAATCTCACCTTTGTGGGGCTGCTGGTGATGGGCAACATGCTGAAGCCGGAGACGACGCACGTCATTGAGACGTTGCTGATGGCGAACATTCGCTCGGTGATGGTCACCGGCGATAATATGCTGGTAAGTGTGCTTTCCCCTGGGAAGAGGTTTTCAGTCTTTTATTAAAGACTTACCTTCTCCTTTTTTTTGGCAGACGGCACTGAGCGTCGCCCGCGAGTGCTCCATGATTCAGCCCTGGCACAAGGTGATCCTCCTCGAGGACGGACCAGGGCTGGGAGCGGCGGAGAGCGAGGGAGAGGAGGCCGTGCCGACGATCCGCTGGAAGTTCGCCAACTCGATGGCGCACATTCCCGACATCAACTTTAAGCTGGCCTCGGCGGAGGACCGCGACCGCATTCACATTGCCGTCACCGGGCGGACCTTCAAGGTGCTGCGCGAGCACTACCCCGAGGTGCTGAAGAAGGTGGCCGTCAGGGGGACGGTCTTTGCGCGGATGGCCCCAGAGCAGAAGCAGCAGCTGATTGAGCTGCTCCAGGAGCTGGGCTACTACGTGGGCATGTGCGGCGACGGCGCCAACGACTGCGGCGCCCTCAAGGCGGGTAAGAGACCTAATGGTTTAGGCGTTGAATATTTTAGAGGACTCACATTTGACCCTTTTGTTCATGTAGCTCACGCCGGCGTCTCGCTCTCCGAGACGGAGGCCTCCGTGGCGTCGCCCTTCACCTCGAAGCAGCCGAACATTGGCTGCATTCCGACGCTGATTCAGGAAGGTCGTGCCTCCATCGTCACCGCCTTTGGCATTCTCAAGTACATGGCCTGCTACAGTCTGACGCAGTTCATCTCTGTGATAATTCTCTACACTGTAAGTGGGGGAGAGGGAAAGGAGTAGTGTGTGGAGTAGTGTGTTGCTAATGGTTATAATTAATCGTGTGCTATTCTTTCCTGCCTAGTTTTATTCAAACTTAACCGACAAAGAGTTCCTCTACATTGACCTCTTCCTCATCACCCTCTTTGTGACGCTGTGTAAGTAAACAAACAAGGGTGATACATTCATTTACTCACCAAGTCTTTAATTTGCCTTTCCCCACAGTTGGCCGTAACAAGGCCTTCAAGCAGCTGAACCGCAATCCGCCGCCGTCCTCGCTCATTGGCCTTACCCCGCTGTCTTCCATTGTGCTGCAGATTCTGCTGGTGCTGCTGATGCAGGTGCTGGCCATTGTGATCGTCCAGGCGCAGCCCTGGTACCGGCCGCACGTGACCCACAACCAGGAGGACCTGGCCAGTCACGACAACTACGCCCTCTTCGCCTCATCCGTCTTCCAGTACATCACCCTGGCGGTGGTCTTCTCCAAGGGCAAGCCCTACCGACAGCCGCTCTACTCTAATCGTAAGTTCTTGACCCATGTGTTTGAGGTTTAAGAAAAAATTCTCATACTTTTCCCATCACCACCAGAACTGTTCCTACTGTCACTGCTCGCCATGACAGTGCTCACCGGTGCCTTGGTCATCTACCCGCCGCACTTTATTGCGCACTTCTTTGAACTGGACATTATCGGCGTGCCGATCTCCTTTCGCACGCTGATGGTCCTCCTCGCGGTGGCCCACTTTTTCCTCGCCAATCTCGTTGAAGTAAGAGAAGGAGAGAGGAGTGTGAATGAGTTTGCTTTGACTAAACACAATGTTTGTTTTCCCTTTCCTTTCACCAGGCATTCGTCGTCGACTACCTGCTCTTCAAGAAGCTCAAGCAGTGGTTCGCCTTCCTGGCGCCCAGCCACCTGCCCTACGAGAAGATTGAGGGCGAGACGCGCAACAACACCCTCTGGCTGCCCAATCCGCCGCAGAACACGCCCATTCTGGAGCGAACCACCACCAGCAGCCTCTCCACTACGACCACCAGCGATGCCAGCTCCAATCACTCTCGGCTGGGGCCACTGGGAGGCGATGGCAGCGGTAGTCATGTGGTGCTCAACGGCTCGGCGGCGCATCACCGCGGTCCTCATCAGCAGCAGCAGCGACTGGACGGCGGCAGTGACCACCTGCAGCAGGCGACCTCCCAGTTCAGTATCGTCTAATCACCACTCACCCGTTACTGACCCTCCAGACCACTTGGACTTTATCCTGCTTGCTTGCATGCTTGCTCGCTACCTTTCTCTTAATTCCTCAGTATCCCCCTCATTATCACCTTCTTCCCCTTTGCCTTTCCGCCCGTTCCACTTCCACTTCTGAAGAACCTCTTCCTCCTGCATCTTTATTGTTAAGCACATGTTATGATGTACACCCCCACACACACACACCTACAGCAGAGCAGCCGTGGTATGTTCCCTTTATCTTTTCTTCCTTCGAGCCTCCTCTTCTCCCTTTTTCTACATGTTTACTTTCGACTACTTTTTTTTCTATTATACCTTTCTTACACTAGATTGATTTTCTACTTTATTACTAACTATTGTCACCTTACACCAACTTTCCTTGTCATCATTTTATTTTACTACTACAATTATTACTTTATATTTTATATTTTAACACACTTCTACAACGAAACCAGTGACCAGTGCAGTGGGCCTCTTTTTAGAGAGCAACAATCAGCAAAGTCCCCCTCCCCCTCCTACTGCTAATCAGCCTACCAGTCAAATAAAAAGATCATTTTAATTACTTTTTAATTACATCGGCACCACAAAAATCTCGAATTTTGCTAACCTAACTAAATTAAGGTAATAACAATTTCGAGATTTTGGACATGCGAGATTTTTGACATTCGAGATTTTTGCTTTCGAAATTTTTGACGCGAGATTTTTGCCGCGAGATTTTGACCGGCGCCCGAAAGAAGAAGTCCTAGTTGCCAAAAAAGATCAACACCTGACTGAAGAGAATGGCGTAGAGGAGGTAGATTTGCGCCCGGCGGCGACCGGCCCTGAAGAAGCAACTAAAAGTGGCTCAAACGTTGGCTGTGTTTAGCAGGACTGGAAGAAAGTTTTGCTCTCTTTTTTGAAGTGGCTGCAGATTTTGCTGGTTGAAATCATCACCATCGCCATCATCAAGTTTCGGCGAACTCGAAGAATTTAGTCCCCAAAAAGCGAGGGGCAGACAGAGAAGGTCAATCGCCAGGTAGAGGGCAAAGTTGTAGTAGTAGGTGCGAAAAGGAACGGTATCATCAAAAAAACTTTAGTGTCCTGCTCATATCATTTCAGCAGTTGTGTCAGCAGTGACAGCAGTACGCGGGATTAGACAGTGGTGGTGGTGGTGGTGATACTGGCGATGATGGCGGGACATGATAGGGATGATGAGATCGAGCAAGAGATCGAGGATGAGGAGTAGTGGATCACAGACTCGTAGCCTGGTGCTTCCAGGGATGCAAAAGAGAAAAAAGAAACAACAGTGCAAGTGCAGAACGAAGCAGAAGAAAAGAATGGAAAGTTACGCACTAAACATCATCAAAACATTAGCCAGGCGACTTTGGTGGTTGTGGTGGTGGCAGGAAAGTGCAGACGATAATTACTCTTGCTGTACAGCAACAGCAACAACTCTGACTCTGACTCACAAACAGTCCAATGCAAAAACAAGCAGACTTAGAGTGTAGAGGTAGAGACATCATTGCTACAGCTGTCTGTCTGTCTGTCTGTCTGCCTTCCTCCATTACAGTCATGAAAAGAAGTTTATTTTCCTGTTGGCCTCATTGCTGCTGCTGCTTCAAGGGGCTCCACTGTCAGGCTGATGTTACAAAAGCTACCTCTACCCGTCTCCTGCGAAAAACTGCTCTGCTCACTTTTTCCCCGACTTTTTCGCCGACTTGGGAACTTCGCCGGAGTTGTAGTTGCCACCACCGCCACCGCCGCCAACTGCTCCTCTCTTTGCCGACGCCTTGATGGACTCCTTCTTCAGCTGCTCGGCGACGGCCTCCTCGACGTCCATCGGCCCGTTGGCCAGCTGTTTGCAGCCGCCCACGCGAATGACACTGCCACTGAGGCAGCAGGCGGTGAAGGAGAGGGTGAACTGGCCGACGTAGCAGAAGCCGACCAGCAGGCAGATGCAGCCCAGCTGGCAGAGGAGGAAAACGGACATCAGCGCAAGGGCCAGTGGTTCGTGGGCTAAGATTCAAGAAAAAAAGGAGTTCTCAAAAGTGGTCATTGAACCAGAAGGTTATCATCAGTCGGCTTACTCGGAACAGTGGTCACATTAGAGGCATTCACAGTGGTGAGGCGAGCATCCTCTCGCAGAAGCAGAGGTGCCTGCTCTGTCATTGGAAATGAATTTGGTTTTTTGCAGAACTTTTTTAGCTCCAAAAAAATTTGGTTGCTGTTTATATCATCTTTTTGAGTGCCAAAAAGATCTCCTGTTTGACTCATTGTTTGGCTACTTAGAAGAAAAAAATGGAACAATGTTTGAGCTAGTTCGATTTAGTTTAGCTCTGCTGTAAGCGGTTATTGAGCAAACGACGGTGATTTGGTCTGACCAAAACGTTTTGAAGGTCACCGAAGAAAACTAAACAAAACAGTTTTGAAAGCGGCTAGCCATTTGATTACAAACAAACAAAACGGCTGAAGGTTACAGACTACAACTGCTGGAGATGCAGCAATTATTAAAATTATAACTGTAGACAGTTGAACGAAAAATAATTTTTTAACACAATTTCACCACATCGTTGATATTGAAATAAAATGATAGCACAAAAGATATTTGGCTGTTTACGAAATTCCTATAACTTTTCGGTTTATTTTTGATATAAAAAGTCAGTTTGACGATTTTGGAAAGCATTATCAATAATATTCAAGAAAAAAGCAGAAAAGGTTGTAAAACTAACTTTTATACTAAAAAATCTCATTTTAATCCATTTTAAATTTTCAGAAATTCGAACAGCAATGTCCCGACTCAACTCAAACTCTGCTCTTCTTTTGGCGGTTCTTTGCGCTTTCACTTTCATTCTAGTTGTTTCTGCCAAAAAACGACATGAGCCCACTCCACCTCCTCCTCCTCCTCCAGAAAGCTTCAACTTCAACGTTCCCGGAAAGAAGTACTTCCTCTCTTTGAAAAACTCCTGCTCCTCAAATCCGGCCGCCTCACAGATTAATCTGCTCTGCTCGGCGGCCGACGTGCCTCTGCCAAAGGACGTCATTCTGAAAAGCGTCTTCCAAAGCTTGGTTCTGGACGGAGCAAAAAAGACAGTGGGCGTTCACCTGCGCGAAATTGGCACCGAAGGACTGCATAGTAGTCAGGCAAAGCGGGCGTAGAAGTAGGAGATTTATTTTTCAATCAAAAATTTATTCATGTTTTTTAATTTTTTTCTGTTATTATTTACTGAACACACCCAAAGAAGAAAAAGTTTAATTTAAACAAAAAACAGTTTGCTCTTTTATTTTGCAAAGTAATCACTTTTTATTATTCAAATTATTATAATTACAAGTCATCGTTGGGAATAAGAATTAAGATGAAGAATTAAGCAATAGGCAAAGTAGTAAGTAAATGATAAGGAAGGGATGATAAAAAAAATAGGTAATAGCGCAGAAGTAGTAGAAAGTACACTGGCTGTGTCGTAGGGATAGTAGTGGTGAAAGTCAAGGGAATATCAAATATCAAATTGGTATTCGTAGTCGCAGCAATAGTTAAGATCTGATCACAAAGTAAAAGCTTCTTGGAAGGGAGTTGTTGAAATCTCAGAAATCCTAAAAAGTTCTCCTGCTTAGTTAGCACATCTCTTCAGGACCTCACTATTGTTGAGGCCGTTGACGTAGTAGCCGCCGCAGTGGCGGCGACTCTTCGGGTGGTCGGGCGGGTACCGCACCGCGAAGATGTCCACCTCCAGGGCGACGCGCATGTCCCAGGAGACGCAGGTGAAGTAGCGGATCAACTCGACGGTGTTGCAGATCAGCGCACAGAGGAGGGCCTTGCTGGGCGCTATCAGCGGACCCAGGCTGCTGAAGTGGTTCAGGACGAGCAGTAGTGGCACAAAGAGACTAGGGTCGGAGAGGTCGAGCTCCGATTTGGTGCAGTGGGCGATCTGGGGAGAAAGGGGGAAAATGAGAAAATTTAAACTCAAAACTTTTCTATTTCTATTCTTTTCCACTTACCACCAACTTCATCGTCAGCTTGGCGTAGGCGAAGCCAAAGGCGAGCACGTACATCGTCGGATTGAGGTGAAAGTAGCCCAGCTTGTAGGCGATGAGCGCCAGCGTGCTGAGGGCGGCCACCGGCAGCACCGGCTTGTTGGGCGCCACCAGGCGGCGGGGAATGCTGACGCCAGCCTTCTCAAGAGGAGTCTCCACGCCCAGCAGAACAATGGCCGCATTGGAGAGGACGGCATTGGCGAGGCTGGCCACGCTGAGCAGCGCCAGCAGCTGGGTGAGGGTGAAGGTGAGGCCCAGCACTGAAACGGTGGTGCCGCTCCAGACGCTCTGGCCAAAGAGGGCGGCGGTGAGGTGGATGAGAATCATCGACCACTGGCCTTCGGTGACGTCGATTCTAGAAATAATAATAAAAAGTTAGCTACAAACTCCAAAACCAAAATCCCCCTCCCAAAACTCACTTTCCAAAGACCATCTGCTCGGTGACGTAGCACTGCCAGTGCGTCGAGTAGAAGGCGACCAGCGAGCCAAACAGAACCGTCAGCGTCAGCGCCGGGTACTGGCCGCACTGGGTGGCAATCGCCGTNCTTCAACTTTAAAGCCAAACTTCAAAAGATGTTACTCACTTTCCAAAGACCATCTGCTCCGTGACGTAGCACTGCCAGTGCGTCGAGTAGAAGGCGACCAGCGAGCCGAAGAGCACCGTCAGCGTCAGCGCCGGGTACTGGCCGCACTGGGTGGCAATCGCCGTCGCGTACATCAGCAGAATGGTGGACACGGCGTCGCAGCCGTGGTCGTAGAACTCCTCAATCTGCGTATTCTGCACCTTGTAGCACTGCTTCCCGTCCAGGGCGTCGGCGATCTGGTAGAGGAAGACACCGAGGGCGGCCAGGGCCAACGCCCACCGAGGCACCTCTGCCTTTGCATCAGGGGAGTAGGCAATCAGTATTGAGCAGGTGAGCAGGTTGATGGCAAAACCGGCGGCGGTGATGGAGCAGGGCGCGATGGAGGCGGGGATA